CCTCTCTCTCGTCTCTCTTCTCCTCTCTCTCTCTCTCTCTCTCTCTCTCTCTTCTCTCTCTCTCTTCTCTCTCTCTCTCTCCTCTCTCTTTGTCTCTCTCTATCTCGTCTTCTCTCTTCTCTCTCTCATCTCTCTCTCTCTCTCTCTCTCTCTCTCTCTCTCTCTCTCTCTCTCTCTCTCTCTCTCTCTCTCTCTCTCTCTCTCTCTCTCTTCTCTCTCTCTCTCTCTCTCTCTCTCTCTCTCTCTCTCTCTCTCTCTCTCTCTCTCTCTCTCTCTCTCTCTCTCTCTCTCTCTCTCTCTCTCTCTCTCTCTCTCTCTCTCTCAAAAAAAGTTTCATTTTAGCAGCTTTTCTGGTATGTCTGAAATCAAATAACCCTCCGCAGATCATCCCGCTGCAACTCAATTGAGTTAAGGTCAGAACTCTGACCAGGCTTTTCAGAACAAGATATATTTCTCTCTGGTCATTGTGTTTTGCTACTCTACTTGTGTTGTTATCTGGCATCAATCACTTCAAATTCCCTTGTAAATTTTATTTAAGCAGTGTTTTGATTGTAACTGTCATTGAACACAAAGCACCCAGGTTTTATTGGATAACAGACTCAACCCATGACGCTCTGTTCCTTCAGGCTTACAGTTGAGATAAACATTTGTTGTTGGTACAAAACACATTTTACCAGACAAAAAAATAGCTTTCACTCTCAACATGATCTTTGTGACTGCAGGCAAGTGTCGCAAAACTGTAACTGATATAATTGTCTTTAACTTAGCTGCTGTTGCCGTTAGGTTCAAAAGAGACCGATATAAAAGCTCATACAGGATATGACTGCTTTGGAAAAACACTGGGTATTGAGCTCAACTAGCCATGCACTGTAAAATTTCTGTTATGTTGAGCCAAATGGTGAGAACGGAAAGATGTCCAGATGAAAGGGAGCAAAAAAAAAAAAACTATCACTGGAAAGGTTTATGCTGTGTTTTAACCTTGATGGGTTATGGTTTTGTTACGCCCACAGTGGTACTGTAGCCTTGATGGAGCATAGTGGGCTCTGTTTATGCACACCACTCTCTACAGGAGTGCTGAAGTGACTGGCATAGTCATTGCAGCGTTAGATGCTACTGCAG